AACCACTCATCAGTAAAAATTGTCGTATGGTGCTGAGTTTTTAGGATCCATCGCGATGGCATTGAAAGCAGCACCAACACTCCTATCCACTCCAGCAGAGTGGATCTTACAGGCACTCACGAAGCATCCCCAGTTGGAAACATCTGGAACAAATGGCATTGTGTTGATGAGATCCTCGGCATCATCCAAGAGCCCAGCTCCTGCAAGAACACCGATCAAGCAGCAGTAGTGATCTCGCTCAGGGCTTATATCGTAGTCAAAAACCATTGAAGCCAAGGTATCTCTAGCAGCAATTACCAGCCCAAGGTGGCAGCAAGCGATCAAAAGGCCCATGAAACTCAGCTCGTCTGGCTTGAACCCTTCCAGATTCAAGACTTCAAAGAGATGAATGGACTCAGCACAATGTAGATTCTGGGCAAACGACACGATAAGAACGTTCCAGGTCACTATGTTTGGCTGTAAACAGCGTCTAAACAATGCCCAAGCATCGTCTAAGTGTCCATTTTGCCCATACGCTCCGATCATGCAATTCCACGTGATAACGTTTGGAACTTCTACACTGTCAAAAAAGCACTTTGCTTCGTTTACATGCCCTCGTTGGGCATATGCAGTGATCATAACATTCCAAGGAACGCTGTCTCTCTGGGGCATCAGATCAAACACTCTTCTAGCTTTTGCAAGATTATCTTGATTGCAAAGTGTTTCTAGGAAAACTGTCCACGACACAAGGTTTCTTTGAGGCATTGAATCGAAGAGATTGTGTACTTGATCGATTTCACCGCACTGGGAGTTTGCTCGGAGCATTCCAGTCCACGCTATAACATCGTGCTGTGGCATTCTCTCATATGTGTCTCTTGCTAGATTAGTGCAGCCATGCTGCGCAAAAGAGTTGATAAGTGTTGCCCACGACACGCAATCTCTCTGCGCCATCCTCGCAAAGAACTTTTGTGCTCCATCAAGATCTCCGCACTGAGCGCAACGATCATAGAGTTCCATAGGACTGGATTGCTCAGTCTCTTTTGAGAATCATGGTCTCGTTCCATTCTGTCAAACAGCTTCTTTGCTTCAAGAAAATCTCCAGCTTGAGCATATGCCGAAATAATCACATTCCACGACACAGAGTCTCTCTCAGGCACGTTTTCGAATTGGTTTCTAGCCTGGATGATCATTCCAGATCTCGCCAACCCAGTGACAATAGCATTCATGCAAACAACGTCCCACTCTGGAATTCGATCGAAAACAAGCCTCGCTTCATGAATTTGCCCGATTTTGGCATTTGCCGAAAGAAGCGCATTCCAAGTCACTACATTCTTCCCGGGCATGGAATCGAAAACGCGCTTGGCCTCGTGGAGCTGCTGGTTGTGAATGTGGGCTTGGAGCAGGATTGTCCACGAAAAGGAGTTGGCGGTGAGAATGGAATCAAACACGCTGCGTGCATCGCCAGAGCTCCCGCATTTGCCATACATTTGGACGAGGAGATTCGCAATGTAGACGTTGTTCTTGTAATGGGTTCCTTCGATCAAAGCGTGGATCTTGCGAGCATCGCTCAGATCTTTCGCGTTACCACAGCACCTGACGAGACAAGCGTATGATTCCAAGTGATCATCCCGGCGAAAGATGTTCTTGGCAACCATGTAAAGCTTCCATCCAGGGTTTAAGCTATGCTATCAATGTCTCGGGGATCTCTGGCGCACCACCGCGCCAGGGCTTGCAGGATCCAGCCCTGATCGAGGATGACAGTGGATGGGATGGAATGTGGGCATCGCTGGGTGAACCAGAGGATTCAAGGGTCCAGTCTCCTCGATCGATGGCGATACATGGCAGCTTTCATGCAGCACACAGGAGGCGTTGGCTTCCACTGGGATTTCTCTCCACCATTTGCCATCGTGTAAGTTCTCGACCTTTTCTCTTTGCTGGATTTTCGTGGATCAATCACAAGATCCGCTTTCACTGCTAGAGAGACTCGGCTTCCACTCGCAAAGAAGCTTAATCCCTGCTCTTGTAAGCCATCGTCGAGGATAGCTCGTCGAATCCAGGCGGAGGATTTCCAGTCTTGCGGCCACCTCTACCGCCAGGGCCTCCGCCACCGCCTTCTGCTAGTAGTGTCGCTGGTAGTGGCGGTGGTGGTGGTGGTGGTGGTGGTGGTGGAACCGCAGCTGCTAATTCTTCTTATGGACAGTGGGTACATCCTAATCAAGCTGCTCATCAAAAAACGTTGCATTATAAGAAGGCTAGCGTTGCGGCCCCTTCACAGCAAAGGCGTCATAGAAGCTAGCTAGACACGAGAGAGAGAGCGAGTGATTTAACACTCCTTGTAAGTCTAGTCTTTGTTTTAATGCGGTAAAACAAAGCCCTAGCTGGGGTTTAGTGTTTTAAGTTGCCTGCATTTGGCGGGAATGATGCGTGCGAGGTTCTTTCTTTGGATTTTGGTGATATGATGCGTGATCCGATAGAAATGGACGAGACTTATTGATCGGCTGGCGGAGTGGCCTTTGCCCGTGGTTGGAGCTTCCGCCCGCGCTTTAGCCTTTAAAATGGAGCCGCATGGGGAGAAGATTTCCCTGGAGCGATGCTTGGGATGGAGCGAGTCTTTTTCTCGCTTGCTGCTCTTGCTGTTCTTGCTGCTGCCGCAACCAACGAGGTGATCTTTTCCTTTCTCCGGCTTGATAGATTTCTAAGAAGTTGGGTGTTTTTGGCAGCCTGTTAGCAAATACATTGTCTACTTGGGGCACACTGGGAGCTCTAAACCGGAGGCTGTGACATCGTCTCATCACCAAATTCTTGCCTCTGTCAAGGGGAGGTACGAAACAATCCTCTTGCAACAATTTTTCTTCTCTCCTCACTGTGTTTGATGTTTAGCAAGGAATCGTCGCTGGTTCACAGCTACAAGCACGGTTTCAATGGCTTCTCCGCCTTCTTGACTGAAGCCGAAGCCGACTCCATTGCAAGTATGCCTCTCTTTGAAGCTTTCGTCACGAGTTTTGACGTGTGGTTTATCAGAGCTTCCTGGCGTGGTTAAGGTTTTCCGTTCCAAAAAACTCAGTCTCCACACAACACGCTCCTGGGATTTTCTCGACAGCTTTTCTGGTGGTCCGCACATTCAAATCAACTCTAGCTCCGGATCGGATGTCATTGTGGGAGTCCTGGATACTGGTAATCATGGAAAAAGCTTACTTCCGAGTTAATTATCCACTTCCAGGTGTTTGGCCGGAGTCCAAGAGCTTCGACGACGCTGGGATGGGCCCGGTGCCAAAGAGATGGAAAGGAGTATGTGACAATTCCAAAATCACCAATCATTCACACACGATCCACTGCAACAAGTAAGATCACTCTTGGGTTCATCTCTCAAGCATTGTGATTTGTTTCAGGAAAATTGTAGGAGCTCGATCTTATGGACACTCGGACGTGCGGAGCCGTTATCAAAACGCTCGGGACCAACAAGGGCATGGAACTCACACGGCCTCCACCATCGCTGGAAGCCTGGTAAAAGACGCCACTTTTTTAACAACTCTTGGAAAAGGAGTTGCTCGAGGGGGCCATCCATCCGCAAGGCTTGCGATCTACAGGATTTGCACGCCAGTATGTGACGGTGACAACGTTCTCGCAGCATTCGACGACGCAATTCACGACGGTGTAGATATTGTCTCGTTATCGCTGGGTTTAGATGACGGGGATTCCATATCCATTGGTGCTTTCCATGCAATGCAGAAGGGAATTTTTGTATCATGTTCTGCTGGAAATGGAGGTCCAGGCCTCCAAACCATCGAGAACTCGGCTCCATGGATTTTGACAGTGGGAGCAAGCACTATCGACAGGAAGTTCTCGGTCGACATCAACCTTGGAAACTCTAAAACCATTCAGGTACTTGATTGTTTTTCGTGAATTTTTCCTTTCTCATGTATATATAACAGGGAATAGCAATGAATCCCAGGCGGGCTGATATATCAGCGCTTATTTTGGGTGGTGATGCTTCTTCTAGATCTGATCGAATAGGACAGGCCAGGTGATAAAACTAACACTGTTTCAGCTGAATGAAAGCTTATCACTAAAACATACTTGGCATTAAGCCTATGTGCAGGACGTTCTTTGGATGGGAAGAAGGTCAAGGGAAAGATTGTCTTGTGCAATTACAGTCCGGGCGTTGCATCATCCTGGGCCATCCAGCGACATCTTAAAGAACTTGGTGCCTCTGGAGTAATTTTGGCGATTGAAAATACGACAGAGGCAGTGTCCTTCCTTGATCTTGCTGGAGCTGCTGTCACTGGGAGCGCCTTGGACGAGATTAATGCCTACCTGAAGAACTCGAGGTACACAAGCTTTCATGCATTTTTGGTTTGAGACTTCTTGACGTCTTTTAAACTTTTCTCAAGGAATACTACAGCGACCATCTCTCCAGCACATACGATCATACAAACCACTCCAGCCCCAATCATTGCGGATTTCTCATCGAGGGGACCTGATATTACCAACGATGGCATTCTTAAGGTATCTGGAGGAGAGTCTTACTAATATAAACTGGGACTCTATCTTTACAGCCCGATCTCGTTGCTCCTGGTGTGGACATACTGGCTGCATGGAGTCCCGAGCAGCCCATCAACTTTTATGGCAAGCCAATGTACACCGACTTCAACATAATCTCTGGAACTTCCATGGCGTGTCCTCACGCCAGTGCTGCCGCGGCCTTTGTCAAATCCAGGCACCCGAGTTGGAGTCCAGCAGCCATCAAGTCGGCTCTCATGACAACAGGTACCAAAGAGAACAAAAACAACTAGTTTTCCCTCTTTGATCGTTTGTTTGGTGTTTGTAGCACGCTTCCTGGACAACACAAAGAGCCCAATCAAAGACCACAATGGGGAAGAAGCTTCACCATTTGTGATGGGAGCCGGACAGATTGATCCAGTCGCAGCTCTTAGTCCTGGCCTGGTCTACGACATATCTCCGGATGAGTACACGAAGTTTTTATGCACGATGAACTACACAAGGGATCAGCTGGAGCTCATGACTGGAAAGAACTTATCTTGTGCACCCCTGGACTCCTACTTGGAGTTGAACTATCCATCCATCGCGGTTCCCTTCGCTCAGTTTGGCGGGCCAAATTCCACCAAAGCGGTGGTGAACAGGAAAGTTACCAACGTTGGAGCTGGCAAGTCGGTCTACAACATTTCAGTAGAAGCTCCGGCGGGAGTGACTGTCGCGGTGTTTCCTCCACAGCTCAGGTTTAAATCCGTGTTCCAGGTTCTAAGTTTCCAGATCCAATTCACAGTTGATTCATCCAAGTTCCCACAAACGGTGCCATGGGGCTATGGAACACTGACATGGAAGAGTGAGAAGCACTCGGTCAGAAGTGTTTTTATTCTTGGCTTGAACTGAGTTGAAGAGATGGCAGTCGACATGATAAGAATGCTCCAGGTCACAAGATTTGGCGGCAAAACAGTGCGTCAAGCTTCAATCCCTTTCATTTCCAAGATGCCCTCTTTCGGCATAATAATGCAGTACCCAAACTTTCTACAAAACATTCGTTTAATTCCCCCTGGTCTCAAAGTGGATCTTATCGAGGTGTTGAATAAAAGAGCTTTCGATTGATCAAATTCACTGCACTGGGGTTTGCTCTGAGCATTTCTAGTCCACGGTACAACACTGTGCTTGAGAATTTCCTGTCAAATTGTAGCAACAAAACATACGATCCCAGCACTGTTCGATGGCTTGTGCTTGGGGTTGATCTGTAACTCAATGAGAGAGACGAGAACTCTATGCCAACGCCTGATCTTATATACTAAGTTAGTCCTCTTCATCCCCACCTTGGGCAAAGAATCCTTTGCTTCAATGGCTTTTCACTATGATGGAGCCGTCACTAATTTGCTACTTGATTCTTCCTTTGTCCGCTCGTTATGCTCTTGGATGCGGGCCAAACACCTAGAGGTTTGTGTAGATGAAACATAGAGATTTTAACATGGAAGTAAGCTTACTTAAGCGTGCCAATGTCCATAACTCGCCAGAGCTAGTGTTGAATAGTCTTTGGTACCAAGAGCCGACTTGATGGCTCCAACTCGGATGCCTGGATTTGAGCAGCACAGGTGTGAGGGAAGTTCCAGAGTAAATTGATGGCTTTCCATGATGCAGACCAGATCCGGATGTAAAAAATCCTCAAGTAAAAGTTTCTTATTTGGAGCTTGTATTATAGCTTGCTGTAGGAAAGTTACAAAAACTCTAGAACTTTCAAACCAAAAATGAATGAAAGCTTGTGTACCTTAAGCTATTCAGGTACAAGTAGATTTACATACAAGCAACTTGCTTGTTTATTTATTAATTTTTAATGATAATATAATCAATAATTACCTTATTTATATTTTAAACACTATTAATTAGGATAGTTACTTACATAAATTTAATTCTAATTTTATTACAACTTTCAATGGTAGAATGAAGTAGAATATACTAGGAAGTGTTTATAAATTATAAATATGTTTATAAGTAAAAGATTAATTTAAATAAATATTAACTGTTAAATGGTAAAATATCCCAGAATATCCAACCATATTCTAGGTTTATCCTACCACCCATATAAAAAAAATTAAATATTTTTCTAAAATATCATTCTAATCATTTTATTATTTTTCTTAAATATAAGTGATTTTTTTAGTATTAATACATATTATTTATTTAAATTTATTACAATTTACTACCTCTAGTATATCTCAATAGATTATGATACTCTGACCTAGTTTTTTTATTAGTTGCAATACTTTAACTTAGTGCACTAACCACTTTATGATTATCATCATTGTTTTAGAGGTTTTTAGTTGTTTAAACTGGTTGCATCAGCAATTCTTACCTATTTATTAAAAATTATAAAATTTATTTTACACAAAATATTTTTTATTTATTAAGTTCCTACTATTGATATTTTAAAGAGGTCATTTAACTTTCCAGCTTATATAGATTATATATATTAGGTTATTTTTTATTTTTGTAAAATATATAATAATAATACCTTAAAATTTTAATTAAATATTTTAAATTTATTAAAGAAATAAATTTAATAATTCATTAGAGTTATGAATTTTACATATACACTAATGACCTTGAGAATATGTGATTTATTGTAATTTTCAAGATTACTATATCTATCAGGTTCTAGAATAAAACTATGATGAAATTCATTTATATGGGCTTTTTAAGGTATTCAAATGCAAAATAAAATTGAGTTATGTGACCATCAAATATAGACATTATAAAGTTAGAGTATATTTTTCTTCCTTTTTAGTTAAAAGACTATATATTATATACTAAACAGTACTATTATATATATATATATATACATATATACATACATACATACATACATATATATATGGGCGAACTATATACTAGGGCTATTTGCCAAAGAAGTCCAACTATATCAGCTTTTCTGTATTAATTTATAAAGTTATAATTCAACATAGCAGAAATTCTACAAGAGGTACAGAAATTACTTATATACTAAACAGGATCAAAAGTTAATTCAATAGTTAAAGTGGTGTATGTGTAGGGAAACTAAAAGCTTTTTTGTCCTTATTAGTCTCTCACTTTTATCATAACTAATAAATACAAGAGAAATATACTTTCATTACTACCACAATCCTAAAAGTCCTTTTTCTTTAAAGTAAAGAAAAATCAATTTACAACTAAGTCAATCATATAACCAATGAAATAATTATGCTCTTCTTTTAATTTTGTATCAAATAGCTGTCAGCTAAATGCTCAATAATAAGTTTGCCTATGCTTTGAGAGCTTTGAGTATTTGTTAGGTAATCTAGTACGTTTGAATCCTAAAAAAAAATTCAATAATTAAAAAAAATGTGTTATGAAAGCACAGTCTAAAAATGACTTATAGCCTTAAATAACACAAGATGGTTATAAAGCTAAAGTTTCAATTTTCTTTCAAAAGTCTAACCAATTTGTTTGTAAAGGATTAGCTCTAAAGGCTATGTAGCTGTTGTTATTCACCAGGTGATGAGCAAAGAAATATCCTTCACATGGCCTTGCAACTCATGGATATGATGGTCTAGAGTATATGGTGGTGGTCATAGGACAATGGGACGGGCATGGTGGTCTCAAGGAAAAGGTCACAAGGTTGTGAACAAAGAAAGAGATTTTTTTCTGGTTCACAGTATAGGGGTTGTTCTCATCCTTCAAGTTGAAAACAGTCTCCTATAAAGATGTTCGTGCATACACATATCTAAGTGCCCAGAATAGTTGGGTCTTAACTCTTGCTTTAGCGTGCCACACAGCTAAAGATGGGTTTGTCATGCTTTCGTGGTAACTAAAAGTATGAACCTAATTTTTTCTTTATTATATACTTGAGGTGAAGAGGATCACGTCCTTGCTTGTAGTCCTTGCGACGTCTCTATGTGGTTTGCAAGTGCAAGGTCTACTTCTCCCTCACAAATTCATGGCAACCACTTCCTAACAAGGACCATGACCCCCAGCTTGTCAGGATTTCAGAGCTTGGAAAGATGTATATGATGCAGAAAAGATACAATGTAAGGCTCAATTTGTGCAAAGCCATTCCAATTCCAACAGTACTCCAGATGTTGGTTTGCTTCCACTGGTACAAGGGCAGGTTGTATAGGATTATAAAGATGACATAATCAAACTCTTGGTTTGGGACGAGGACCGGGATCAGAGTGGTAGAAGCTTGATTCACATTCAATGTACTGCCATGGTGTCCATCAGCCGAGTGGTGGCACGAGGCCCCGAGGGCTGGCCGAGCAGAGACTCCACTGGAGCGCTGAGTGAAGCGCTGGTGTGAGAAGGTGCTGGCAGAGGCGCTGAGAGGAGGCACTGAGCAAAGACAGATTTCTGTCGTGAATACGACAGAGTGCTTGGATGCAGAGGGAGAGTGATCTCAGATTGATGTCATTGAGATCGAGAGGGAGTGTTGAGTATATGCTCTCTATGACATGATCCTAGGTGGCAGTAGTGCCACTTCACTGATCCAGGTGTAGGCTAGAGACATGTCTCTTCATCATGTATATATATCTATGATATTATATACGATTATCCTTGGAGTCATCCACCATCGTAGCTTCCGCTCTTCTTCTCTTCACTTCATCTCCACAGGTGCATGCTACTTCTGCATGAATCAGCTGCACAACAAAGATGGTTTATGACTTGGAAGACAGCAGCTGGTACTACCACACTATCCACCACTATCGCTTCCTAACTGGTTTAGTGGGCGATACAATAATGTTGTTCTGGATCTTGCCTTCACTGTTGTGTGAACTAGCAATATCCATTTGCTGCAGACTTGAAATTCTACAATTCAAATACACAATTTCAAAATCATATAGAATCTATTTGGGCAATATAACACTTCATTTCTTCTCCATGTTGTGCTCTTGAATAGACCTTAAACCCTAAATATAATTAATTAATTATTAATGATTTAATTAACTATAAAAGAGCTCGTTTTAGAAGTGGTTTTGAAGTATTTGGAGCAGGTAAAGAATTCCTTGAAACAGAGCTCCAACACTACAGGAGCAGTAAAATATTCTGGTATAACAACTTTCGAGAGAGTTAGATTGAAAAAAGCTTCACAAAAAATTTAAATATACCAAAATGCTAGTTTAACCACTCATCAGTAAAAATTGTTGTATGGCGCTGAGTTTTTAGGATCCATCGCGATGGCATTGCAAGCAGCACCAACACTCCTATCCACTCCAACAGAGTGGATCTTACAGGCACTCACGAAGCATCCCCAGTTGGAAACATCTGGAAGAAATGGCATTGTGTTGATGAGATCCTCAGCATCATCCAAGAGCCCAGCTCCCGCAAGAACACCGATCAAGCAGCAGTAGTGATCTCGCTCAGGGCTTATATCGTAGTCAAAAACCATTGAAGCCAAGGTATCTCTAGCAGCAATTACCAGCCCAAGGTGGCAGCAAGCAATCAAAAGGCCCATGAAACTCAGCTCGTCTGGCTTGAATCCTTCCAGATTCAAGACGTCAAAGAGATGAATGGACTCAGCACAATGTAGATTCTGGGCAAACGACACGATAAGAACGTTCCAGGTCACTATGTTTGGCTGTAAACAGCGTTTAAACAATGCCCAAGCATCGTCTAAGTGTCCATTTTGCCCATACGCTCCGATCATGCAATTCCACGTGATAACGTTTGGAACTTCTACACTGTCAAAAAAGTACTTTGCTTCGTTTACATGCCCTCGTTGGGCATATGCAGTGATCATAACATTCCAAGGAACGCTGTCTCTCTGGGGCATCAGATCAAACACTCTTCTATCTTTTGCAAGATTATCTTGATTTCAAAGTGCTGCTAGGAAAAGTGTCCACGACACAAGGTTTCTTTGAGGCATTGAATCAAAGAAATTGTGTACTTGATCGATTTCACCGCACTGGGAGTTTGCTCGGAGCATTCCAGTCCACGCTATAACATCGTGCTGTGGCATTCTCTCATATGTGTCTCTTGCTAGATTAGTGCAGCCATGCTGCGCAAAAGAGTTGATAAGTGTTGCCCACGACACGCAATCTCTCTGCGCCATCCTCGCAAAGAACTTTCGTGCTCCATCAAGATCTCCGCACTGAGCATGCGCAACGATCATAGAGTTCCATGGGACTGGATTGCTCAGTCTTTTGTGAGAATCATGATCTCGTTCCATTCTATCAAACAGCTTCTTTGCTTCAAGAAATCTCCAGCTCCTTGGTGCGACCGACTACGGAACACCGGCGCTAATCTGTCGTCTGGCGCGCCTGGGACTACCAGTCTT